CTGCTTCTAAGTGACAGATGAACGGACCTAGTAGTCTGATAGAAAGACCTAACGAGTACAGGTAAAGAGACATAGTAAATTATGCTAATTATGCTAATCATTACTTTTATAACACCCCCTTCTAAAAGTTTCTCAGGCAACAAAGTTTAAGTGCGGTTGAGTTTTGTGCAATCTGGAAGCTTCATTTCTAAGTTAATACTCGTTTTTCTCAGTCGCTGGTCTAGAAAAAAAAACTGAGCTTGCCTACTAATGAAGATTTTGCTTTTCTCACAAAAGCAGCTTAAAATGTACAACAACAAAGCATGAATAGGTCCGTCAGAGATCAAACACTGCGATAGCTCAACGGATTGATACTGAGACGGAAATTTCTATAATTTTAAAACAAAGTATTGTGACATTTCTTCTATCGTCGATGTTAAGATAATCTAAAAGTTGTTTTTGCAACCATGAGAGAGTAAACCCGCAGGAATTTGCTTAATGTGTCGACTAAGCAAAAAAGATCAGTGGATAGGCAAAAACAATTAGCAAAGGATACTACTGCCCATATTAATGCCTCTGGTTATGAGCAAGTATGATATGGTACGCGTCGCAGGTCACATGGACTATATGGGATAAAACAGGGGAATATATAGAGCTGGATAGACCGATTATATGGGATAAAGGGGGGAAGTACATACAGAAGGATGCATCTGTTCGATGGAAGGTTTATTAATATATGTAGTCCTCCTGTCAGTTCTTCGTCATTTTCCTGAAAAAAGGTAAAAGAAAAGGCTTCTAAGTCGTCTCAGTGGCTGGTTTCTTACCATACATTCCTTTTTCTGATAGATGACTTTCTCTGTCATCTCCCAGACTTGGCTAGATATGAACCTGAAGTAAAGGAATGGGAAGAAGAAGGCGGAGTGCTGAAATACTGCGCATTGGGGTAAATCACGTCGTTTCGATAATAACGTGTGTTAAGACATACTTTAGGCTTTAGCACTGCTCAAGGTCCGTCCTGGCGCCTTCATCATACAGAGAGGAGTATACTAGTCGGGAGAAGTCGAGAAGTAGAGTAGCAAAGACGATATGTATAAAGCTTCAGGTTTGCCATTGTATAGCACTAGTGGAAGGTCGTCAACACGCATGGTAGCATTAGTTGTTGGCCACCAATGAATGTGGAGCTGCTATTGCTGGCGAGGCCGCAGTAGACCAGTCCTTGGTCTTCTGAATGAATAACGCGCTGGGTTGACTGGCCTATGGTCGGAGAACTCGCTAGAACGGGCGGATGTGAGCAATTACTCTGAGAATGCGCGACGGCAAAGATCAACGGCCAATACGTAATTTTACAGTGTTCAGCAACATAGAGTAAAAATATGGGAAAATTCTCTTGGTGAGGAATTGAAAAGATGTTCTCGTTGGCTATGCTAATGGTATGAAAATGAACTTTACTGAGAATGAGAAGCTATTCTTCAAAATCATTTGTTTTGCTTTAGAAGAAACGTCAAACACTGTCTCCTTAGACTGTGTGCAAATGCACAAAGCCTGGCAGCGCCGGCAATCGATCGACTGCCGTGCTCCTGCCACCCTATGTGCCGCGTAACGCTGCAGAAATGTGTGCATCTGCACGTTACTTAAGGAATGACTATTTGATGAATGTAATAGAATAAAATGATGAAAATTGAGGCAGCTTTTCAAAAGGAAAGAAGGAAAAGAGGAAAAGAAATAAAATTCTTCCGATTACTGATACTGAATATCCATTTTTCACTGATTATCCATTTTTATGTTCAAAATTAATTTAATTTAATTAGTTTAGTTCATTAATTTTATTTTTAGAATTTAAATTTAAACATATTGGAGGAACTGAAGAGGAAACCGCTAAAATTTAAGCAGATAAAGAGATGAATAAAGCAAGAAGGAAACAGGTATTGCAGAAACACATGTATCTACTTTCTTTTTCGCTTACTATGACTAGTGAGGAGGGCGGGGCCAGGCATTCAGATGTACTGAAAATCCAAACGAGAGTCAAAAACAACTTGAAAGGCAAAGAAGCGTGTCGAAACGAAAAGGACTGATCAACATTGCGCTAGCTGTTCGTGTTTTAGCATGTTTAGACACGGCCGGCGTCCCCTTGGGTGTATAGCCCCGCCCACCTCACTAGTCATAGTCCGCGAAAAAGACAATACAGTTAGATGCAGAGTAGTTGGAATCCGCTGACGTTAACTCTAATCCTAGCAAATTCTGCTTTGTTTATTTTCTCGGGTGAGGGGAAAATTGTAGAAAGTTCTGTACTGATGGAAACTTCAAAGGTAAATGCTTAATGTTCTTTAATAAAACTGTCTATCTGCTGCTAAAAATGTATAATACAAAGAAACGGAAAAAATAACCTTCAAGCAACTGTGAGAAAGCAAACACTGCATTTCATGCCTATGCAGGCATCCCAGTGTCGTCCCTTATATCCCCCAAGCATGTAATAAACCCTCAGAGCCTCAAAGGACAGCCGTTTACGACGCGGCTTTGCCCTTTTTGTTATTCCCAGGCGAAGCCCATATATCACTGGGGCAGAGACGCGCGTCTTTGCCCTTTGTTCTAGAAGCGGGGCGTGCAGGAGGTACGCTGCGCCGCAGACTTTGCCGCGTTGCGGTGTCGCGCCTGACTTCTTCCAGAACCTTCTATCATATAGGAAATTAAGCTTGGACGGCATTTTACTCATATGTGTTAATCATGGCCCTCTAGAGACCCTTATTTTATGTGAGTACCCATAACAGCGCTGCTTTCTCCTTCAAAAAGGAGTTCCCAGTCGTCGCGCGCGGCAAAAAATCGACCAATCAGAGAAGCGCGGCATATCTCTTGCCCCCACTTGTTCTAGAAGTTGACAGGCTGGCTCCCACAGGTCTTTATCAAGCGAAAGTCGGTTGAAACATGTAGGACACGATAGGACCTGTTGTGGGTATGATATAACATGGTAAATTCGGCTTTTACATGTTATAACATATATGACAACGGGACCACACTTTAAGATTGTAACGTTCCTGCGTATTAACGATAAACGGTCATCGTTCCTCTAACGTTGCGGACAGATGAGTGGAAGAAACAAAGCTCAAAATCCCTTCAATTTATGGATTGTTAAGAGCGCGAAAAACGCAACCTTGTAACCTAGAGCGCTCTACATTTATGTCAGTTTTCTACCACCCCTTTCTTGAAATTCCGATCAAAAAATTTAATTCACAAGCAATAATTCTATAATTACGAAATTTAAAACTAACACCACGTCCTGATGCGATCTTCAGTCGCATCATTATGTATTTTTAGGTTCTACTATTTATCGTCCTTTTACGAAAAGTCTAAGAGTAAAAAAAGATAAAAATATTCACAAGTCTACACTTTTGGCCTTCTTCAAGTAGATCAATAAACTACTAACTGGTTAAATATGGGCCTCTTATGTATCACATATGTATTTTCACACGCTTTACTCTCTTTTTCGCGGACTATGACTAGTGACGTGGGCGGGGCCAAACTCGCTTTGGACTACAGAGGGAGCCCAAAGCAACTTGAAAAGCAAAGAAACATATAGAAACGAAAAGAACGGATAGTACTCCGTGTTTTAACTTGTTCATACACGGCCGGCATCCATTCGGATGCATGGCTCCGCCCTCCTCACTAGTCACAGTCCGCGAAAAATAGTGTATCTCATGGTATTAACCGACTTATTGATTTTAAGAAGTAGACATTTCTGAGCGAACCGAGGAAGGAAAGAGTTAATGATTTGGAATATCCAACATACAGTATTGGTGAAGAGACAGTAGTCTAGTATCCATTTTTGAAAAGACTGAATATTTCTTACATCTTCATCTGACCTAACTGTTAAGAAGAGAAATTTCGGCTGGAATTTTATGAGAAAGGGAATTAAGACGAAAATTAAGTCTTTCCGCTGCACTTCCAGGTCCCCTGAAGCTAAGGTTCCAGGTTCGGAGTTTGGCTCTTTCTCAAAATCTAAGCTAGGTCTCTTAAGGTTCTTTTCTTAGAATTCTCAACACTTTCAATGATATTGACAAAAAGGAGGAAGCGATTCTCTTGATCGCGGCGACGATAGTGATGGAATGTTTTCTTTTGTGATGTTCTGCTGGTAACGAGAGTAGATGGGGTTTATGATGGGAAGAACAGATGCATTTTTATTGGGTGTCTGCTTCTATACAGCCTGGGTAAGCTGCCCACTACTTTACAACACCTTCAGCCTACATAGTGTTCCGATAAATAGCCATCCTGAGTGCCTTGAGTCACAGATGTTTTTCAGCAGCTGCTGCTCGAAAAAATCAAGAAGGAAGATCGGCTTCTACCGTACATAAATTCCTAGCCTAAACTGGTACTGTCTGCAAAAATACACTTTGGCAAGTATTTTGCTAAAGTAGCTTTAGAAAAGGAGTGACGTGCATCAGCTCATGACACATGTACATTATCAAAGTACAAAATATTGTTTTTTGCAGGTTGGACACTGCGGAAAGGACCATTTCACAGTTCCAGTTCCTCACCTTATAATTTATGATATCCCTCCGTGTCAGGAAATAGAAGTATGCTATCCTAGTGAAATAAAATTCAGATTGAAGGAATAGAAGGTCAGAAGTCAGTGCCGAGTTGTCTTTGCTATTCGGAACATTTACCAATAAAAATTTTAAAAAATCTACAAGAACCGCTTGACACAAAGGTTTGTTTTAAGAAAAATTTTAGGTACGCAGAGTTATTAAAGAAAATTCGAATCATAATATACCCTCATTTTTTGAAATGTATTTTTGGTTTTTCCGCTGGGAAGATTTGCAGGTAAATCCAGTCGCCGGCAGTGGCAATCCGAAAACTTTAGAAAGTAGCCTAGACGCCAGGAAAAAATTGAAAAAGGGGAAGTTTTTTTTTTCAAAAACTGCTCCGATGAGGTCATAAAGTTCAAACAATCCAGGTTTTGCTGCAAGCTTAGTACTTCTTGATGGCTACTGAGACCAGCAGTTCTTGCCGAACACGTTCTGCTCGTCGTAGCATCAATGATTCAGTGGTAGCACGCTCGCCTGCTATGCGCGCGGTCCGGTTTCGATTCCGCACCTATGCACTATTTCTGTCGCGCGGCTAGCATCGGTAGTACTTTAAAACCATCACGCAAAAGTACCGGTAGGTAACCATGCTAAGTGAAGAATGCTCAACAGGGGCTATGGAAGCATACTCATTATGAACAGTTATGGAAGCGTCGTTGCAAAAAACGAATGTGGCAGTTATAAACCGGCCTGAGCACGCGTGACTCTGACATAGGACATTGATTCTTGAAGTTCCAATGGGCTGGCATTGGCTGCAATTCTGGCGCTGCTTCTGGTTCGATAGTGATGAATGGGCAGCTAGGTGACAACGCCGAATCGACATAGAGCTCAGCGGGAAGGATATGGGCTGGCGGCTTCTGGCAACGATTGAGGGCGACTGACTGACTTCGATCGATAATCTGCCTTTTTATAGCCGAGGGGCGTGGCGCACGCTGTCGCGCGGATGGCTGAAGCGTATCGGCGAAGAATGAGCCATAGCGAAACAGGGACGCCGTGGCAGGGCCAGGTGTAGAGGAAAAGGAGACGATATCGGAGTCGACGGACAAGTCGGTGGGAGGAAGGGGGTCCGTGTGCGAGACAGGACAGAGGAAACTTCTTGGTTTGAGATATGCAGAGTCTGAAGGGGGAAAACTTTCGACTCAACCTAACACCGCCAGGTAATATTGGTAATCCTAGGCTTTTCCTCTCTGTGGGAATCTTGCGTATCATTTTAGTCCGCTGTATGCCGAGCATTCCTTTATGGTGTTTATATGATAAAAGTCGTGAAACATTTACATCAGAATGATGTTGAAATCAGGGGAAAAGCTCAGGAAAATCTATAGAGAACTCAAAGTGCTCACTCCGGATGGGACATCCTGTACATAGTTTTTTTTAATCCTTCATTACCACGCTATGTGACCAGACGTGGAAGCGGCTACAACAAGTTTATATGTGCAAGTTAGGGAGATTTGTATGTGTCTGTGTATAGCTTTAAGGGTTTATTTTCTTGCCTAGCAGATCGCAAATTCCTTTATAATAAGTCTAAAATCTTGTCTAAGCTCTTCTTCATGAAAAAAAGCGGTGTATGACGTAGTCTCTTCATGAACCTCCCCTTTATCACAAGCAGATGTTCTTCCGACTGTGGGAAAAAGGTAAAGTGTTGTTTCATGGTTAATTTCAAGTATAAAAGTAGTTTATTTATTTATTTACAAATAGTTACAGTACTTCCTATTTCACGTCCCTGGACTTCCATGCTCTTTCCTTTATCAAGCTGCGTCCTGGGTCCAAAGAATTCCCATGTAGCTAAGCACATATCTTTACCGACAATTTATTGAACAACTGCCTTGTTGTGAGTAATCATTTACGGACGTACTATTACAGTAAAGAATATAGAGGATTGAATGACTAAGTTTATGGATATGAGGGGTGGGGCAGTAAGAAAGATAAATGGGTTGGAGTGCAAAAGCACCAGGGCTTCTCTCCTTTCCAAGTTCCTCGCGACTTTTATATGAAAAAATAAACTGGGCTGAATTCTCTCCAAGCGCGACGATTGCCGATGTAGCCAGTTTTGGACTTATTTGTTAATTCAATTTATGCACTACCGCCGTAGACATCGACGATCGGAGGAGTTCTATTGTCGAGGTAGTTCTTCTAAAGGTCGAATACGTTTTACCATCGAACTGACTCTACAGGACATTTTTTGACCGCTCACAGCTCTGTGAGCAAAAAGAAGAAACAATTGAAGGTAGTCCTGTGAAGTTTGCCTTGCACTTTAGATCTATGGTCAGCCCCCTAATACAGCATTAACACTCAAAATCACAATGGATTTGGAAACTATGCGGATTATATTTAGATTTGTTTTTGTTTTTGACCAGGAAAGTCCTATTCAAAACATTCTAGTTAAAGAAAAAAAATCCTATTTTTATAAGAAAGCGAAATAATCGAACTTTTAACACAACTACCAATACTTCTAACAGGAAGGCTACCATTCTTGAACTCCCTATAACCCTCCCATATCCATATTTTCTGGGCCCTGATTTTTAATATGTTAGGGTGTGGGCAGTTCATCTGTACGTACCATTTTCGCAGATCGACACTACGCTAAGATGACCTTCCTCGTAAGTTCAAAGGACAATGTGGTTTCTGATTTTTGCCATTTCAGCAACTGCAGATGAAGACAATCGGTGCCGTCAAAAGTTAAAAATTTAAACTAAATTTAAATTAAATCAAAATTTAAATTAAAAATCATTTTGCTAAGTATATCTTTCTCTCTATTTTCCTTTTCCTCTATTTTTCTCTTTCCTAAATATGTTTTTCTTCGCAAGTGACGTTGGAGTAACATTCAAGGTGTGAAGCAAATAGTTGTAATGCATGCTTGTACATATGTGAAGATAAATTTCTGAATAAACTATTTTCATCTGTAATCTTATACTTTTCCAAGATGGTCTGCATCTATGTACACGAGAGCAGATTATCTGGAGAGCTGCGCAATCGTCAGACGACTAAAAGCACTGGGTTTTCACAGGAGTTTCTCAAAACACTGTCGGAGAGTAGGAACTGAACAGAAAAACTAGGAAACAAGAAAAGCGAAGAAATAACTGCTGGATCCGAGCTTTCACTGCGATAAGCGTGTCATGACCGCTCATTTTATAGCCACAGAACCGGTCACAATTTAATATCACCGCATCTTTTTACAGTAGCTAGAATGACTGATAGGTGAAGATAGATTCAGGGCACTGTTGTACTTTAGGAGCGAGCTTTCTGGAGGGTGGTAAAAACTCCCTTCGTAAAATTTGGGGGCTTTACAGCCGAAGCGGTAGCAGTCAAAGAGTATATCGTCGACCTTTTAGCGTTAGGCGTGGACGAGTTACGAGGCAACCCGCCGTGCCGCAGCTGGTACGTGATTGCACTAAAAGCTCTGGACGAGGCACTATCTGAGTGAATCGCCGGTGTATTATAGGAGACACACACACCACTTTATTTTGTAGGAGACTAGACCTATACTCCAGGTTGTGCACCTACTACACACCATATCACTATTTTCATACGCACATGGCCTAAGGATATGTTCTTTATAAGATAATCTGCATAAAACTTTCGAGAGCAACCCTACCATATGCAATGTTTATCCTTGAAACAGGTGCAGAAACACCAGTAGGCACCCCATGACTCTGGCCGCGCGGTCATACCCCTTGGTCAGTCGTATGACCTGTCCCAGTCACCGCCATGTAGTAGGCTTTCTTGTCTACACTTATTTTAGGGGTATGATCAATGCCAGAACCTTTATCGATCTACAGGTAGTCAAAGCCATTCATACTCTGAATCTAATATTTATGAGTAGTAATTCTACCTACATTTATGGGAGTGTGAACTCGTGTTCCCACTCATATGTACAAACAGAATAAGCTATTGAAGTAGATCAAAAAAGCTACAAAGCTGGTGGAAGTTAGTTCATCCAGAAAATGCACAATAGAATTCATGGAGTGCAGCCAGAAGATACAAAAAGTGGACGCAGCAGTGCACTCTATCCATCTGGTTCCGGTTTTGCCCCACTATTTCTCCAAATGCCTTTGCACTTTGGTTTACAGAGCAGGCACCATGTTTCACCAGCGAGAACCAAAAGGGCAAACCGGCTGAATTTCGAAATTCTTACTAAGAGATACTTTTCAAAAGAAGAATAGATTGTGTCGGGCGAAAGACAAAAGTTGCCCAAGTCTTTATAGGACCCCCTATTGGTCTGGACTAAGCTTATCCAGGTTTTGTCCCGGGTCCTGCGAGAGAGCTAATGAGGACAAAGGTATTTGGCTGGCAGGGCTACAAAGAAATAGGTACATGGGCTAAGTAGAAATGAATGTATACATGCAGTGTGAAGGATAAAAGACAGGATATGGGCAGAACCTGCGTCACACTGGAAGAATCCGAGATCGGGGATTATAAACAAAGTGAAGCTAGAAGATGAGGTGCGAATGCATGGGATTGAGCCATTTCTTCTGCTTCCGCGATTTTTATATGCACCTACCACAATTTTCACGCGTACCAGCCTGACAAGGTCAGATATAATTACTGTAGGACTATTATCTTCAATGACGGAGTTGCGATTTAAACTTTGGCTAGACTAACGGGTTCGTCTCTTTTAGCTGTTTCCATGCAGTAGCAGGGAACAAAAATTACTTTTCGAATACTTTCGAATACTACATGTTGGTGTATGCCATAAAATAGGAAGTCCATGCACTTCTTTGAAACAGCACTAGATTGGAGTAGGTGTCATAATCGAAAAGAAACTAGAATTCACGTAAAAATGAAAATTTAGCGCAAATTTACGTGAAATAGTGCAACTGTGAAAACATAAATGTGTCAGAGCGGGTATTAACTTAAGATATTATCAGGTTATTACGACAATGTAAAACCCAAGCTCTTTATCAAGTCATTAACTTTAGACCTGAGAAATTCTAGAGAATAACACAGTAAGGGTCACTACGACTATTCGCATCTCATTTCCCTTTCTAAATGCATACCTGCTAGTATTTTCCTTTGGGAATAAATTCTCGAATTTTCGAATATTTAAATTTTTGGAGATTGCGATTTCAGGTACTCGAATATTCCAAAGATTGGGATTTTCTCAATTTCCGAATGTTTGACTTTTTCGAATACGTCAAATCTTCGAATGTGCCAGTAGTCGGCTTAATGGAATAGGTAACTTTACTGGGTTTCGAGTTTTTCTTGACTTTTGGCCTGTCTGATTTATTTAAATAACAATTCAAGCTTTATTTATTTGGCTACAGCTCCAATGTTGACGGTATTTGAAAATGTGTTCATACATACTCTCTTTTTCGCGGACTATGACTAGTGAGATGGGCGGGGCCAGTTATCCAAGGGGACGGAGAGTCCAAAGGGGAGTCCAAAACTGCTCAAAATCACAGTAGCGTGTCGAGACGAAGAGAATTGATCAATACTATGCTAGTTCTTCGTGTTTTAACCTGTCTGGACTCGGCAGGTGTCCCCTTCGGTGCTTGGTCCCGCCCACCTCACTAATCATAGT